GCAGCTGCTGCTGCTGCTTCACAGCTTTGCCACCGCAGCGAGCCTTTCCTTGTTGGGCAACTGGCTGTACTTGGGCAGGTTGGCCTTCACAAACTGCGCGTACTTCGACGGGGCACGCTTCGGTTTCTCTTCACCCTTCGCGCCTGCCTTGGGCTTCTTGGCGCGCTTCAGCGACGGCATGGCCTTGGCACGCTTCTCCAGTGCAGCACGCTCAGCAGGGGCAAGCGCCTTGTAGAGCTTCGAGGTCATTTTCCCACGCTGCGCAATTGGGAGGCCGCTCAGGGCGGGATTTTTCTTCTGCTCCATCATGAACAGCGCGTACGCGCCGATGGCAAGACGAGAACGGCAAAAACGCAGCATTGGTTGCGGAACCTTTTATGAATGGATTCGACTAGAGATGCAAAAGGCGACGTCAAAGGAAGAGGAAAAGGGAAACGTGGACATAACAGCTTCTCAAAGGCAACAAGCAAGCTTAGGCTTATCGTTTGCAGGAAGAAACTACTGTTGCAGAAACAGGCAGGGAGAAATGAGACAATTATCATACCTTGTAACACACCCAAATTCAGGTCGCCCACACAACTTTTCTTGCAGTTGTTGTCTTTGTCGGCTGTGGCGATGGTGTTGCTGACGGGGGTTGATTGACGGTGAGCTATGGTGTAGGTAGGAAAAGGAAAATATAAACTTTTTCCCTCCTGCTTCCCTTTCTTCCAATGAAACAAGGCACAACACGTGCAGGAAATCCTGTGTAGTTGCAATAAAAGGACAAAAAGCAGGGAATGGATGGCCTCTCTCCACACACACTCACACTCTCACAGACTCTGGTCTCTTTTCTTGGGACAGATTCCCCCCTCCCCCTCCTTCCACTTCCCTTCGGCTCCTCATTCGTCAGTAATGGATCCCTCCTACAGCTAAGTGAATGTGCATAAATACAGATATACATATGTACATATACCATCATTTTTATGTTCCTCATCCATTCTCCCATCCATACATATATTTCTTCTTTTTTTTCTTTTTGTTCTTTTTTGCCCGCACAGTTCTCGGTAAACCTTTTTTTTCTTCCGTTTCAGTTTTTCGTGTGTTGTTGTTTTTTTTCCGCTAAATATATGGCCACTCTCTTTTCCTCCCCATATTCATTACCCGCGCCCCCCGCACCTGCAGTTAACGTGCGTAAAACGGAGAGGCCATAAAAAAAAAAGACGAGGAATGAAGAAAAAAGAAAAAATGCGTCAAACTTGCATTTCTCGCTTTTTTTCCTTTTATTGAAGTTCCCAGAAAGGGAGAAATTTTTGTAAGGGAAGGTCGAGGGTGAAACGAAGAAGAAGAAGAAGAAGAAACCATACAGCGAAGGAGGAAAAGCGAAGTAAGTGATTTAGCTCTCGGCATTTTTTGCTTTTCTGCTCTTGTTTTGTTTTTGTGTTTTTCCGGTCTGTGTGTTTCGTTGCCGTCGTTACTCTTGAGTGGTACCCACAGCCTGAGGTCAAAGCAAAGGTCATAAGCGTGCGTGTGCATACGCGTCTACATGCCCACATACGCAATGTTTACGCATCCGCAGACCCAATGAGGTGCCCAACAACATGCCTACTTACAGTACGAGTACCTTCGACTACTTGTCTCTCCTCTTCCCCACCCTCTGCCTCACCTTTTTTTTACTCCCCGCCGACGCAAAGGCTGCTCCTCCGCGTCTTCCAGTTCCCACTTCCGCCAGGTCACCCAATCGCAGAGAGGGGGTGAAAAACATCGAGGGAGAAACCAACTTGACGGGTGGGGAAAAAAGGGGGCCACGCAACTCATGTTCATTCTTTTTTTTTTCATTTGTGTCATCTGCCAGTAATTCCTTCGCACACGGGGCACCGTTCAGTGTATTCCCCTCCCCCCTCCGCTGTGGGTGAGCAACCCTGGTTAGCCCTTCATTTTGACGTTATCAAAGTGGGATACAGGGTTCGCGCACATCCTTCACGAAGAGCGCAGTTTCTTCTTTACCAATTGTTCTTGCTTCCTTTTTGCGTCCCTTTTTTTCTTTGTTAGTTTTTGCTGTTGTCGCTACTTGGAATTTTCCGTTGCCCTTTTCTTTTTTTCTTCTCACCAACCTTTTTTCCCCCTCTCGATTTCCCCTTCTTCTCCTTCAGAGCTTCTGGTCATTCAATCCACCCCGTTCCTCATCTTGCCACTTCCATTTCTCTCCACTTTTTTTCTTGTTTTTTTTTCTTTGTGCTTCCCCATTGCCCTTCTTGCGACGCCGCATCCCGCCCTCAGAAGATGTTGTTTACACCTGTTTTTGGTGCATACACGCCGCGACACCGCCCGCCGTGGGGCTCCATATCGGGCGACTTGGAGTCAAAGAGCTGGCCTTGCACCGTCATCTTCGAAAGCTTGGTGGCGGTTCGCTCTGCCCTGGCGGCTTCCGCAGCCGAGGTTGCCACCGAGACCTTGCGGTTCTTCGGAGTGGAAGCCTCGTCATAGGAGAGTAGCTCACTCGGGTGGTACGGCTTCGAAGGCTTTTGCTCCTTTTGAGGGTAGTCAAAAATGCCTGCGGCCTCAGAGCGCCTCGGAGCGCTGGCACCGACAGACTTGCGGTGCAGCGGTATAGGCTCGGCAACACCCTTGCCGGTGCCAAAGATGTCATGTGTCTCATTCGCGTGCGACTTCATACGGGCAATGATGGGGCGTTGACGAGGAGGCAGCGGCGCTGGGGTAAATTCGCGAGGTCCATATACTGCCTTGCGCTCCACCTCATGGAGTTCCTCGACAGTGTACTGACCAAGGTTCAGCACGTCAAGCGATTCATTTGACCTGTTTCGGCGCGTGTGCACCCGCACGGGAGGCTGTTTCTTGTCAGCGCCCTGAGCCGCGCGGGAGGTCTCACCTCCGAATAGGTTCAAGTTGTTTTGGGCTTGGAAGCGGCGTTTGCCCACTGCGGGCTCTGGTTGCTTCGGCGGAGGCGGAACCCCAGTTTCACTGTAAGGTGCTGCCTTGGTGTGCGGCGGCGCCATTCCCGGCGCCCGCTGTGGCCGTTGCTTCGCCTCCTCCGTCTTGACGCTGCAAGCCATACCAACGAGGTTGTCCTTGGGGCCGTGTTGCTTCGGCACGCGGCGTGGGATGGGGTCATCCTCCTTGCGACCGAGGATCCACTCCTCCGTGAGGGCCTTGCCAACCATGCATTCATTTTTGTCCTCGTAGCGGCGAACCCCGTGTGTCACATGCCCAGGTTCCTTTGGGCCGGCAAGGAAGTCAGAAGGACTTACCTGAGGAGCCTTCGTTTTACCATTCACAACCTTAGCCGGAGGCGGCGCATTGTCGCCGGGAGCCGCTTTGCCACTGAACGTCACTGCAACGCCCGTGCCACGGCTGTTGGCAGCGGCCCTCTGACGGTGGGAGAGATCCGGCGGGCTCGACGGCCGCGGTGGTGGGTCGTTGGAGGCGAGAACGCGCTCCTCCGCCGTCATCGGCCGCTCAACCGCAGCTGTGACCATTACAACTCTGCTTAGCTCTTAATGTTTTTCGTATCTGCAATGAGTTGAGCGCGAGGAGGAGAGACAGAACACGTCAAGAGTTGAGGGAGCCGCGACAGTTGGCAAATTGCGCCGCATCAGCAACGACAAGGATGTGGGGAAGAAAAAAAAGGAAAATCAACCGTCCAAAGCCGACCGAACACCAAGAACAACAAGCATAACGCCAAGAAGAGGGAGGGGAGAAGATAATCAACCACGCTTGGATAGAACACAAGAGCGGAAGCAAGCTCACAGCATCCTACGATGTGGTTAGTTGTAGGCGCATCTTCGGGAACAGATGAGGAGTAACACCCGGAGTAAGAAATAGCCGGAAAGTGCATCCAGAGAGTCCCCGTCAGGTGACATCAAAAGGAGGAAAAAGAAGAACGATCCAGCCAGACAGATGCTCTGTGTGTGTGATATATATATATATATATATTTAATGGGAAAGCAAAGGAAGGAAGCAAGAGGGTTCAGTTTCTCGATACGTTTGCACTGAGAGTGCTTGTGTCACTCATGTATTTGGTAGGAGTTAATACGGAGTAGTGTCATCATAGGTCGCGGAGACCGTCTTTGCAGGGGATCCACGCCAGGATTCTTGCAGGCTTCTACAGTACGACGCAGATGGGTAAGACGAGCGAGCTCCCACGTAGTACAGACGTTGCCTGCTCTGGAACAATGGTGCACCGCGTCACTATGCGCCACTTTGTGTGTTGCCTTGAAAAGAGGGCTGTACCGCGAGCGAACGGAGACGAAGATGGAACGCTGGAGGCAATAACAACAAGGGCAAAGAAGAAGCAAGAGGAGACGTGGGCAAGAGGGAAATGGAGAAAGGGGAAATGGGCGAACGCGGGGGTGGAGGGGAATCCCACCCCGCCCCCATTGAGATTCAAAGCTTCGTCTGCCAAGCAAGAGAAAAAAAAAACAAAAAACGAAAAAAAAAACTGTAAGGTATTGCGCGGAAAAAATAAAACTTACATGCACGCAAAGGTGGTCTGGCAGTAATAACATAGGGGAGCCCCCACCGCGAGTCACTGCTACTGCCGCGCCAACGCCAACATCATTACGGAAAACTCCACGTAGTTGAGGGCCTCCGGCGGCTCCGGGGCAGCGCCAGGGGCGAGACTCATGGTGGCCCTGAAGTCCCCCGCCTTGGCGCGGTATGGGCGACGTTGAAAGCTCTTGACAAAGTTACGCACTGCGGCTTCGTCACACGGGACACCGCAGCTATCCAAAGCGCAGATGGGGTGACCATGTGGCCAGAGCATATGGGTTTCTCTGCAAAGAACGCTGCGGCGACTCTCTGTTGACTCCAACTCCTTTTCAAGGATGAGTTCCACCACGTCGTTTACGAGGACTGTCTCCTCGCCGCCAGAGATGGCGAGAAAGATGGGGTACAATTCTGCGTCGGAGATGCGCACACCAGAGCGCGCCGCACGTTCCCTGATACTCTCCGAGAGCTTTCCGACCTTTACAAAGGGGCCTTGATTGAAACGGGCGCTCTTGGCCATGGCCAACACCGCGGTGGTAAGCGCCCCCTTCTCCCCCAAGAGAGCCGCGGGCGTCTTTTCTTCGCCTCCCTGCGCCTCCTCCTTTTCGTCCTCGTCTTGGTCCGCCTCCTCCGCCTCTTCTTGGGCGGTGACGCCGGTGTCGGAGGGGACGGACGACTCTGCCTTACTTGTTGCCATGCGCTGCCGCTCCTCAATCTCGACGCGGGTCTTCGCCATCTGCGTCACCTCCAGAATCTCCCGGCAGAGCATGGACGACTTCAGTGAGTTTTCATCGGAGGTGACAATAATCACCCGCCAAATGACGCCGCTGTGCTGCACGTAATCCTCCACCGTCTCCACAATAATCTTACATACATGAAACACAACCTCCTCTTGGCGATCCTCCTCGCCGCTGCCCCAAAGAAGGCCCACGCACATCGAGACCACCATGGCTGTGTCAAACTCAAGCATCAAGCAGTGAACACCATGTAGCTCCGCGGTGAGCAAGCCTTTTAATACCCAGAGACGCAAACGTTCAGCTGCCAGAGTGTTGTAAACCTGCAACGGTGCACATTCATCGTCTCTTGGTACAAAAGCAGCAATTTCATCATCTTCAATATAATTCCTTCCTGGCTTCCTTCGGCAGAGGAGGATGCGAATGCAGTGAGCCACTTGGGCAATTGGTTCAGCACCTTTTAATTCCTCACCAAAATAACGAAGATCGTACGCGCCCTGACGCCACTTGTTGATCATGTCTGGAAATCGCTGCATTACATGAACTCTTTGCCGCATTCGTGCACCTGTTGCATAATACGAGCACCGCACACGATTATCCAGAGGGAGTTGTGTATACGCTTCAAGAGTTTCTTTTACATCATACTTGCCCACAGGACGATGTGAGGCAAGAAACAGGGTCACAATGTCTGGGCCAACCCCTTTGTCCACAAGCCACGAAGGCGCAATGCCTTCCAGCACCATCAACCATGCGTCAAACATCCATCGAATCTTTGAAATTCCAAGGGCATCTTCCAAAGCGTAATCTGGCACTTTTTCACTGGTGCCGGATGCCTTTGTGTACAGTTCAAGCTGTCGTTGGAAGGAATAGAACCGCGTGTGCGACACGTACACCGAACGCAGGCGAAAGAGAGGAAAATCCTTCACCAAGTGCATCTTCACATGCTCGTTGAAGGACTCATTTCGAAAAACAATGCGGAACAGCGGGGTGGGAACCGTCCTCTCCTCCGTATTGTCGCGTTCCGGCAGTTGGTAGACGACAAAGCAGTATTCAGGTAGGATGGGGTGAGAAGCGCAGGGGGCCTCGTTGAAATCGCGGCCGAAGATGGCAGCGTACTCCTGGGAAAGCGTCACTCCGGTGTCCCCACAGAGCCGAGGCATCGGCACAAGCACAAGCCGCTCTACCTCATCCAACACCATACCGTAGCGCATGACGTCAAACTGGCGCTTGTGCAACGCCCTGGTGTGAATGGGATGGCTTTCCATCGCATGACGCACGGGGTGAAAGGAGTAGTCAATGGATTTTGCTAGCACATCAAAACGGAGCGTCAGGTCACTGATGTGCAGCATGGCGTCTGCGACCGACCCAGGGGTAAAGCCCGGCGGCACCAACGCCGCATGTGGCGAATCCCACATGAATGTGGAAAGAGGGCACACGGATTGTGAAACTGCTTCCATCCTTGTCGTTCTTTTTTTCTTTTTGCGCACTCCCCTCTCTACTTTTGTTTTTGGTAATTGGCTGTGTCTGTGGATTGCTTCCCCTTTCGCGGTTCTGGGGAGAGGGTCTCAATTTTGGTTTGCCTTCTCTCGCGCTCGCTCTCTCCCTCCCTCTTCGTGTGACTCAATCCCGCCTCGCCACGGCGATGAGGTACCCAACACAGCCACAAAACAAAACAAAAAACAGCTAGGGCGTGGGAGAGAGGAGGGAAAGAGGGAAAGAGCGAAAGAGAGCGAAAGAGAGACCCATGAAGGTTTTTTTTTTCTTCTTCTTCTTCCCTTCTTGCCTGGTGCCGGTAAGAAAAGGGACCGTCGTCTCACGTGCGAGGCCTCCCATGCCTCTCCATGGTAACGGAAGGGGTCAGGGGAGCTGGACGGTGGCAAGCAGGAGGCAAAGTGAGAGGTGCACCGCCCTCCACGCGGCAACACCCACACGCAATCGCAGACTCCCACACCTGCGACAAGTCACGGCCGAGCGGCAACGGCATTGAAAATGTCACATGCTGCCTTGTAGAAGACCGCAATATTGTAGTCGATGAGGGCTCTGCTTTGAAAGCATTCCTTCTGAGCCATCAGCACCAGAGTGAGAGAGTTAGGCAGCTCCTTCACATAAATGTAGTCATCGCTGCTGAGTTTGATGACGGCATTTGCCCCCGCAGCAACGGCTGCCTCAACGCTTTCGACGCGATTTCCATTTTCTACGCCGTTAGCAGCAGCAGCAGCAGCCGTACTCGCGGCAGTGGTGGGGTCATGCCCGTTTTCTCGTCGATCCCTTGTGCAGGGGGCGTAGATTTGGCTCATCTTCATCATCACCTCAATGGCATCGCTGCAGAGGTCATATGTCCGCAACTTTGCGCGACTCCGCTCATCCACGGCTAGAAAAATTTTAGACCTACTGAGGAACAAGTAGGAGAGATCCACGTTGCTGTTACTATTCAGCATCTGCAAGAGTTCCGTAATGTATGGAGACTGCGGCTTGATGAGCTTCTGCACCACCAGGGAGAAGGCCTGAAACACCGAGTGGTCGTAAATGGATGTTAGGTTAAAGTTCACCCGCAGCGGGGCGGCGCTCTCCAGACGCTGCTTGGCCTCCAACTCCACGTGGCGCTGCAGGCTGGCGAGGAGGTCGGCCTGGTGGTCCTCGCTGAGGGCATCCACCTTGTGGATGAACACCTCAACCGAGAGCTCGGGGTTGTATCGGTAGGCGGCGCACACCGTGTCGATCAGTCGCGCGCGGGAATCCTCAATCAACTCGCGGCAATCCATCACAAACACAATGGCGCCACAGTTCTCGAGTAACTGCTCCACGTCGAACGGCCCCGTGGTGTGGGGGTCGAAAGGGTCGGTCTGGCCCGGGAAATCCCAGACCTCAAAGTTCACAAAGTCGTTGGAGTGCACCCTGCTCTTATCCGGCTGCACCGTAGTTGCGAGGTTGACGGAGTCGTGCGGCTGCATGCCCTCAAAGACAACCTTCTGAATGCTGCTCTTCCCCGACTTTCGCAGCCCCAGCAGAAGGACCTTGGGCAGCGAAAGGAGTTCCGAGGCCATGGCGGGGGCCAAGCACGGCAGCCGGAGACAGCGTGCAGGACTATCACAAGAGCCTTGTGCCGGGCAAAGAAACAAACAAGCAAACAAAAAAAGCGAGGGGGCAAAAGGAGCAGAAGCACACCAAATGAGGTGTGAAGAAAACATAAAGTATAATAATAGCTTCAATAATAGCAGTAAAAAAAAACAAGCAAACAAACAACAACCATAGCAACTCTATTCATGTAAGAGGGAGAAAAGAGAAGATGTAGGGGGGGGGGAAGGAACTCTCCTTTGTGCTTACGGAGAGAGAGCGAGAGATGTAGAGAGATAAAAAGAGAAACACCCACCCAACACTAGAGCAGTGATGAAATGAACTGCAGTAGGGACCCGCCCTTCACCCAAGAACAGAAGAAAAATAAATAAGGAAAAGGATCGGCTTAAGCGAAGTGATTCCTCTCTCCCTCTCTCTCTTCTTCTAATTCCTCATTTCCTCGACCCCCTGCCCAACACCGTACGCTGCGTTTAACGTTGATGTCGTCCTTCGCACGGCTGCCCTCAGCCGCGCTGCAAAATAGCAGCAAGGTCCTTCAATTCCTCCCGCACGTTATCCACAACCCAAGTCAGCGCAGGGCTCCCGAGGCGGCGAACGTCATGAATCAAACGGTTAAGAGCATAAAGCAGCTTTTGGAGCGACACAGAAATCTCCCGCCGATCCAAGAGTGCCAGGCCACGCGTGCTCAAGTGGAGACGTGCGTAGCGCACAAAAAGGCCAAGTGCCAACTTCACAATCTCAATGTGCAGGGCAATACCTTGGCTCGCCCCCTCACGCGGCTCCGTCTCCGCGACGCTGTCCACGCTGGCGCTGGTCGTGAAACTAGAGTACAAAGAGGGGGTGTGCTCCGGCGAGTAGGAAACCTTGGCCCCAGACAAGCCATCCTGATGGCCCCTCCGGATGATGTTAAGCTCGCGCAAAATAAAGGAGCGCAGCAAGTCCAATGATAATAACTCTTCCCTCACCACCTCCCCCTCCTCGCCCAGCACGCGCCGCTGCAGTGAAGCCCCACTGGAAACAGAAGATGCGTTGACCGGTGAACTGCGATAGCGCTCTATCGTGACCACGAATAGCCCCTCATCTGAAAACGCGGGTGGTGGGGACTGTTGAAGGAGGTAGGAAAGTTGATCGCGCACGGTCCTCAGAAGCAGCTCTGCAACTCGTTCGTCGACGGCCGCCATGGTCGGAATGCGATATCGCCGTATATGGCAAAAACACCGCCGCACGTGTGGCGTTAACGAGGCGGTTGAAACCCCAAAACTGGCCAACAAGGCAATAATAGAGGTGCACAGCTGCATCTCACGCATCTCCCAAGCAAATGGTTTCGCCTCCGGTACGTTGCCGCGGGACATGAAACATGAAACAGCGTCCTGAAACCGTGGGCTTGTTGCCGCCAGGGCAGAAACGACGTCTAACCATTCTGAACGGCCGAATCGACTTGCCTCCAGATTCACCAACACAGCCTGGAGTAAACGCAGCACGGAGAGCCACGCCCTGTGCCATGTCTGTGGTTTATACACGTTTGCAACAGGGTCGTAAACGGCCGCCTGCCCAAATTGTCCCAACACACTCGCCAGAGCCATCACACGCGTGTGCGATAAGTAGACGGTCAACTCGCCAGTGTGTAGGATAAGCGTGATTACCGCATCCATGACATAGTCAAAGAAGTCGGACAAGGTGGAGGCAGGCTCCGTGGGAGGAAGCATATGAGATACATGAGTTGCGCATGACCACAGGCTCTCCACGCTGCTAAGCGCACACCGTACAGGGGCCAATTTGCCAATGCGAGTGTAGATGGCACCACACCCCAAAATTAGCTTCGTCAAGGCACTAGTTGGTGGCGCCGTCGCATGCTTCTCCAAAACTTCGGCAATGAGTTCAAAGAGTTGTATTGCCGTTCCCTCATCCGCGGCCTCAGAGGGCTGAAAGGCCGATAGAATACCCAGCCCCTGGCAAACAACCTCAATGCTCTCGCGGTTGGAGACCATCAGTTTTACAAAGGCGCGAAAGAGGTTATTTAATCCCATTGTTGACGGAGTCAACACACTCTCTGCCGAAGCCTGCATATGCACGGAAGCTGCGCCACGCGCGAGCGACAGCCAGCCCTCAAAACAGCCCCACATTAAACCACGCAAAGGATTTGCGGTGGATCCCACCATTTGCACTCCACTGAGAGAGAGATCCAATAGTTTTATTGAGGTGGAAGATGCTTCCCTTTCGCCATACGTGAGCCATGCAACGGCCTCTAGAGAGGCTGTGAGGCGCGTAACCGCCTCCAATGCAGATGCCATTCGGTTCAATAAGATAACACCCTCCTCCTGCTCCCATAACAGAAAAGAATCTCCAAGAAGCATGGGTTTTACTTTTATGCTTCCATTGCTGGCTTGCACGGAAAGCACAAGAGGTGCATTCGTAGGGGCAGTGGACAAGCTTGACGTAAAGTCCTGAGTCACGCGTGAAGGAACAAGTTGCCGTGTATTTCTCTTGCTAAGGCTGTCCACTGAAAGAAGAGAATCAACCCTGTCATTGGCGGGCCCAAGCTCCTCTTCTGTGGCCTTGTAAAAGGCAATGCAATCTGTCAGCGCATCAGATCCAACGTCAAGCATTGTGCAAATTGTCGCCGCATTTTCAGAGACTAATTTGCTCTTTTCAATTAGAACCGTTGGACGACCGGGACTGCGCTGCTGCTGCTGCTGCAATCCTCCCTTATCCCCATATTTTGTGCTTCTGCCACCCTCCGAATGCATTTTGCCAAGTAGAACACCACATATGTAATTTATCACCGCCGCCGCGAAGGCGGCGCGGAGGTACGCCGGACCGTCTTTGTTACCTGGCAGCAAGTCGACGACCTCCGTGATGGAAAGACCCACATCCTCAAGGGAGCGAAGGAGCTCAAAACACTCTGCCTTTTCCAGCAGGGTAAGCTCCTCACACCTTACCGTGTCGCGTAGAATGGAGGTGAGCGGCAGCTCTGCTAAACCCCCCTCCGCGTCTGCCTCCTCAGGAAGGATCAAGTAGTAAAACGAGGCCGGGTCGTAGCGAAGCAGGTAGCGGAGGGAAACCAGCCGAATGGCATTTACGGAGGCGTTGCACGGCGTCCGTGGCCGCAGCTCCTGGTGGATGGACGACAACAACATGCGCCTCAGCTCCGTGGAGGTGTGAAAACGCATGGTGGTGAAAAGTTTCTCTTGCGAGTGTTCCACGACATCCGCCAGCAGTCCCGCTGTGGACTCCACCAACGCGACCGAGGCGTTGGAAGAGAACAAAATGCAGTACAGCACAAAACACGCGGAAAGGGTATTCTCACCGTACGTGGCAATCACGCAGGTGGCAAGTGTATTGCGGTGCCCCTCTTCACAGACGGCGGCAGAAAGAAGACGTATCGTGCCTTCTAGAAGGGGCATGGCTGGCAAAGAGCAGAGGAACAGATTTCCCGACTGAAGCTCACGCAGAAGCACAAAAACCCCCTCACAGAGGCGACAAATCAGCTTTGCTGTTGACCCCGCGCTGGACAACAGCGCGGAGAGCGGGTAAGGCGTCTCCGACAACGCCGCTTGAACAACCGACAACCATGGAACGAAAAACTCCACCGCCAAGGAGGAACAGGTAATGAGACCAGGAGAAATGTGCGTCACAGCCTCAACAAGGCCACCAAGCGGCACCGCATTTTCGTAGCTCTCACAGAGTGTGCCATACAAGTTCAGCTGCAGCAATGCGATTTCGGTGGACTCAGCCCGCACTCCCACCCCTCGCATCAAATCAGGCAGGAGAAGGTTAGAGGCGGCGTAGGCGATGTTGCCCAGCATGGGATGAAATCTAGCAATGGTGCCGTAAAAGGTCTCAACAAGGTCCACCTCCCCATTGACGGACTCCGTCAAAACTACGGTGGCCACATGATGCAGTAGTGAGTGCAGATTAGCCCCAATCATCGCCTCCAGCTCCTTCTGGTAGATGGAATAATTTGACATGAAGGCGTGTAAAAGGCAAAAGGCACTTCGCACAAGCACCTTTTCGCTTCCACGGAATGATCCCCACTCCATCGCTAGCAGACGAAAGGTCTTTTTCAGGGGCGAATCCGTTAGCATCATCGTTGCTCTCTCTGTGCTATGAGCGAGGGCCGCCGCTTCATCTTCGACAACTTCTCCCGGGACGGAGCCGTTCGTAACATAACGCGAGGCCCCTGTATCGAGGATTGTGCCCTCCTCCTCCTGCAAGACGCCCAACCCAACATGATATGCCAAAGCAGAGATGTAAAAATTAAAAAGCGAAACGGCATAGACGCTGTTTCCTTCCACAAGGCAATTATGTATGTGACTCCGCAGCAGCGGCACCCCGGAGGGCATGAAGTCCCACAGAGCTGCGCACCGTGCAATCCCCTCCAAGGCGGAGAGGAGTGCAACTTCTGTGAAGTAGTCCCAAAAATCGGCTGAGACTCTTGAAAACAGATTATACAAAACGTCAGCAAACCGCTGCCGCACAAGCGAAAAGGCAGCTGAGTGAACGCCATCGTCAAGAAAATACGTCGCAGTGGGCGTAGAGTAAACGGTTGTTGTGAACACGACCTCTAGTGTCGCGCGGAGCAGTTCCGGCTTGTCATCGGTCCCCTCCCGCAATGCGGGAACGCCTGCAAGGACAGCCAGCAGATGAGGAGAATCCAGACTCGTGTTGTGAGTACACAGGGCTTCGAGGGGCATCAGGTCAGAGTACTCCGCCAAGAAGGCAGAAATGACAAGCGCACAGCGTCGCACCCCTACGAAAGCGTGACCTTCCCACATCTCTTGTGCCAGCGTACCAAACTCTCGCAAGACATCTTTGGAGGGACGTCGCAGGGCATGTTCGGCAAAGAACAATACAACATCGCAGGAAATCCTAAGTAGACGTAACTCATTGTATGACTCCAACTCACTTTCTTGTTGTTTGACCACCTCCCAAAGCTGAGAAATACTTCTCCGCATAACCTCGTAAAAATTCAACTCCTCCAGTTTTTCAATCAGCGAACTCCAAAGCAGGATATTTCTGTAACTCTGTCGCGGATGTCGCAAAAGAGCAAGAAATATACTCAGCTCAAGGAGGTGCATCTGGTTACCCGACCCTTTCTCTCCCAAAGGGAAGCTAAGGGCGGTTTGAAGCGGACACACCTCATCTACTCTCCCCCGCGCAGAGGAGTGAGAGACCACAGATGCATCCTCCTCAGAGTTCCCTGTCGCAGCAGTTCGCTTTTGATCCTCTGAAGACGAGTACGGGGTCAAAATGGTGTTGGGTGCAGAAAACCGCGTGAGGAAGTCCCTCGGGACGAGCTGAAGATGACGCAGAAAGGCGTCTGGATCGTCTCTACTTGGTGTCAATAGAGACGACGCCACCCGACTGGCCACGCAAGAGAGAAGGCTGGAGCCGCTCATGGGTTTCGGTTCGGCGCCTGCGCCTCCTCGGGCTTCTGCTATTTTGTTCTCGCCCCCTCCCGCCCCCCGCCACACAGACACACACAGTTGCCTCTCACTTACCGCAGAATCGACGTGTTTGCTCCTCCACCCCTTTAGTCTTTAAAGGCAAACACGCTCCCCTCTTATTAAGCACCGGCCCTTTCTTCGTGATGTTGCTGTTCTTTGCGCTGCGACCCCCCCCCCCCAAAAAAAAAAAAAAACAAGTAGGGGAGAAAAAGAGCAAATGCGAACCCCCCACCAGGTTGCGCTTGCCACCAAAAACGCGGCATCCGGCACTTTTCTCCGCAACCTATGGTGACGGGTCAGAGGAAGCGGATAAACGTGAACACGCCAGGATTATTCATGGAGTGTCAGAGCGAAAAAAAAAAGGAAAATAAGAACAGAAGGAAAGAAATGCGTGGGTTCCATGCAGCACCTTTCCCACTGGGAACGGTTTCATCTGTCAGCCAACAAATTTCATCTGTATCTCTCTCCCTTCTTTCTCTTCGCAGCTGCGCACACGCACTCACATGCCTCCCTTCTCATGTATATATATATATATATATATACAGTTATTCCACTCCATTATTTATCTGAACTCCTTTTACTGTGGTGCTTAGAACGTACGCTGCGGGGCGCAGAGGTGGGAGTTGGGAAGGACCCCGCCTGCCTATCCAAGCGCGTAGCTGGTTGCTGTTGTTGCCCCTCTTCTGCATCTCTCTAGTCCCCCCCCCCTATATACCTTTCTCTTTCTCTCTCGTTCATTCTCTTCCTCCTACTTCACGCTGCTTGTGTCGGCGTGCTTCTCACACGCTTCCCCAGCACAAAACGGGGCAGAAAACAAATAATCACAAAAAATCAACTACATGCACACGTCATTATACGCGCGGCGGCACGTCAAGCAATGGAGCCCTCGCCCCGCTCTCTTATTGTGGATGCGTGTGTGCGCAGCCACCAGTAAGCCCCTGGTTCATCAGTTGCCCAAAGGCGGCTGTGGACGCGAAAACAAAGTCATTGCACGTGGCGGTCCCCACTTGCCCGCGACACCTTCACACAAGAACCGTCACCGTCAATTGCAGCAGAAAATCTTCGTCCCCTCAAACTCCTCAGCGCAGCGACGACAAAAAAAAGAAGAGATGAGAGATGATTTCTAATAACAACAGCTATTCCAAGCAAGGAGGATGCAGGCCCTCTGGTCCCCCCCCCCTCCATACAGTCAGCCCCTTTTATTTGCTTCTGTTTTCTTTGCCCCGTCTATAATGCATCCAACTCCGCACGAGGGGTAATAGAAAGCAGTGGTATGCCCAGGTAATACGAGATTTGTGTGAAGACCGACAGAATCATGTGCAAGTACTGCCAAACCCCCAGTGCGGCGAGCGCCACCATGGCGGAACCGAGTGACGGTTCCAAATATTTGACCTCTAACTCGCGAAAGTTTGCGTGAACAACAAGTGCACCAAATGTGACGCAGAACGTGGTCAGGTAAAAGGCGTTGAAGAGACTATACGGCATCGCACACAGCCGCGCCACTGTCATTCGAGTAACAGTGTAGGACGTCAAAAAGCCAAAGCTCAACTCAAACGCGAATGGATACCTGTCATGGATCGAAGTATACGTCAAAAAGAGACACACGTGAAAGAACAGTAAAAATAGCACAGGAAGTAGTACTAAAAATGGTGTCCCCTCAACGTGAACGCTGGGTCTACAAATCACGTGCACAACATTCGCCGCCACAGTCGCACAACCCGCAGCCATGATATAGAGGAAGATAAGACTACGAACACTGGATATAACAAAGGTTACCTCCCTAAAAAAAAGAGACAGCGTTACTTCATACGGGGCCAAAACAGTGGTATCCCAGATAGAGTTTGAATAAAGACCGGTAATGATAAACATGACGCATGCCGCGCATATACCCTCTGTGGGACCGTTGATATAGCCAAGATCTAACGTGCCCGTGCTAAATTGCTCCCAAATCGCTCCAAAGAGAATCATGGATGACATTGTGCAATACACAAACGTCATCCATGATGGGAGGTTCAAAGCACAACATAGATTCACCTGAACCAATGGCGTCAGGAAGGCATCACAACCGTGATCAAACAACTCTCCAAGTGGACCACCTGTTTTAGTTCGCCGTGCCTGTTTCCCATCGATAGCGTCAAAGGTTTGGTATATAAACAAGGCAGCTGCAGCATAGTACCACACCCATGCTGGATACACCGCATCATAAAAGAAGTAATAAAACATAACCAAAATAGAAGAAGATATACCAATAAGAAACCCCGTAAGGGTGATTGCATTGGGGGCCACGGTCATTGGTACAAGGTTCACAATAAAGTTCCAGTACGGCTGCATAATGTAACGCCCAATAATGCTGGAGTCTGAACCACAGTATTTGTACTTTTTCAAATTTGGCAAGTACTCCAGTGGAATGTGTTCATGCACTTTCGGGTTCAGACTTATCCGGCGTGGGTGGTGGGGACCTCCAACGACACCGCTGCCACTACCAGCACTGCCGCTTCCGCCACTATTCCCGCCTCCGCCAGCCATGGTATCTCGAAAAGCAATACGCAACTACGGCGTCAAGGTAACTTCTGCACGCTTTCACACTTCTCTGGGCCTTCCTCTTGTATATATATATATATATATGTGTGTGTATGCGCGTATGTATTCTTTGCTACCTCTAGTGGTGGGTGTATGCGATGTCCTCCGTTGGGGCCCAAAATGCCTCCTTTTCTCTCACCCTTCTGCGACGTGGTATTGTGGATGTGTTGGGGGCGTTACAATAAGAGAAAAAACAAAGCGTCAGAAAGAAGCAAAGCGGACGTGTGAGTGCATCCACGAAGACTTAGTAAGGGTGCAAGTGTCACACGCCCAGCACACATCCTCCTCGAAATAACACGTGTCCATAATGGTTAGAACGTTCAATAGTGCAGGTGTAAAAACCAGTATCGCTACAGAGAGAAACACGCGATTGATGTGGAAATACTTTGTGAGGGTAGCGAACACCACTTTACTACAAAAAAATAATAATATATACGGCATCCTCCTCTCTCATGTAACGATACAAACACAGTTCTTCTCCTTCACTCTTTCCTTCCTTATCACCACAAAGCGTTTTAAATTGTGCTTGGTTATTGTTGTTGTCTTCTTTCGCTTTGGAATTGTTTCACATTCCTCCGCCACCGCAGTGAATAAAAAAAAAAGATATACATTGAAAAAAAAAACACAAAAACAAAAAAAAGGGTGGTGGTGGGGTGGGGGGAGTCAGCGTGTGCCACGATTTGAATAGATCCAACACCGCGGGCATAGGCCTGCTCACCAGAGCCGTTGCCTCGCCTTGGAGGTAAAGAAAGGAGCGGAGTGACTGTTTTTTTTTTCTTTTAGTTGTTGTCGTTCCCCTTGCGCCTCTCCAAGTTTATTCCATGGCCCGCACGACGGGCAACTTCCGTTCCCACTAAGTCGACATGTGGAAAACAAAATTCGGCCCCCCAATGAGGAGGGGACTGTAGTGGGGAAACACATGGGGCATACGCCCATCCCGCTGCGAAGAAAGAAAGACACGTGGAGCACCGTATTCCGCCGCTGTCGCCAAAGTAAAAACAAAAAGGAATCTATAAAAGAGAAATAATAGGGTGGCGAGGTTGCCTAACGGGGGCGTCTGAGTTATGCCGCATCTGCGAGGAGATTTGCGTTTTTTTTCACAGCATGCAGGCGCTGTCGGGGAGAAAGAAGGGGGCGACGTCTTTTCCACCCCAAGAAGAAACCGTGCCATCCTTCACCTGCAGCGTAGCCTTCGCACGCCCCCGCCGGCATCCCCGTGCCTTTGCCCAAGTTCCCGCGGAGCTGGGCAACGTAGTTGGTGCAGACGTGTTTCTTCGGACCCTGCACGTTGTCTGATCTTCACGATGTCCGGATGGTATCAATGGCGAATTATGCAGTGACGGGTTTGACCGTGCTTGCTGGAAAACTGAAAATCGCACCCAGACGATCCCACTGAGAGGCCTGCGCTTTCCCGGCGACTGCGCCCCTCTGCCTCCAATAAAGCCGAAGTTTACAGTTAGTAGCAAAACCCATGATAAAGGTCCCCACACACGCAAGAGTGGTGTCACAATCAAGGCGTGTTCAGAGGAGATAACGAACGCTGTTTGCGTCGCGGCAGTGGCGACAGAAGTCAGAAAAGGTGGATGGCGATAAAAATGGGAAACACAATGGAAGAAGATAAGAAATAAAAAAACACGAACTTATTTTACTTCCATAAAAATTGAAAATTTACGCAATTACCAATAGATATGTCTCGTTTCCGGCGTCTTCCCTCCCGTTTTGGCGAGAACAGGGAGAGGGCGGCCGACGCGTCAGAAGTCGGCGACACGGGGCCAGAGTTCTATCAAGGTGAAGGGACAGCGCAACACAAAGAAAATAAATTTCGGCGGGCGGGCATTCGTCCGCATGTTGGGCATGGCAACATTGTGGAATGCGCGTGTAAGCACCAAAATAGACCAATGTATAATTATAAAAGCACACACACAAAAAAAAAACATTCAAACACCACACGCAAAGAGCCACGAACACACAGAGCTCTCCTCGTTCAGAACGAGCTGAACAACAAAAGGAAAAAAACAAAAAAAAAACAAAAAAAAACAAAGGGACCCCCCTGAAATCGCAGAGGCCTTATTCTGCTAAAGAAAGAGGGTGGTCCAGAAAGCAAGCAGATGGTTAAAAACACCAATGCAACATTTTTCCTCTCTTCCACAGGCTGGTACTTTTTACACTACCGCTCCTTGGGGCAGCGTTTTTCTCTTTTCATTAGACGCAGCCCTCCTACTGTTACACTCCCTCGCTTCGGCACAAAGCAGCGGATACGACACACCTCCTCCACGAAGCTGATGGAACGAAGAAATGGTCGCGGCGTCAAGCACAAACAGAGTATCCAGTGTCACGGGTTTGTTAAAAGGGCGCACCGAGAAAAACGTCGCATCCGCGGCGCCTGATGCATTAGCTGCTACAGCGCCATTTGAAGAATCGGTAATAAATACAACATTGATCTCACTGCTTATGCGACTGAGGCTTTTCTCAAGCCGTCGTCTTATGGTTAGATAGGTATGCGGCTCAATCATGGAGCCAACACTCCTTTGATCAAAGTAGTCAAACACATAGGGTGAAAGATCGTCATAGCTACAGTAGCGAAGGAGCATCCTCGCCGTGGCAGTGGGGCAAATACTACAGATGGCAACAAATGTTTGTTGTTGTCGCGGCGAGCCCCACTCCTTTATGCTTATCGCAGCGTCTTGGAAGAGTTTGGAATGCAAAACCTCACTTGTAAAACCATCCTCTAGCACCATCTCCAGTAACTCAGAATAGTATGAGGGGTAGGGAACTTTGGCGCTTTCCAGTGCATCAATATGATCTATAAATAAGCTGAGGACTTCATCCTTATCCACTTGGGTTGCATTCAACGCCTTTCTAAGGGGGGGCAGACACTGCGATGCCCTTCCAATAATTCCACAAAGGTCTGCGTCTCCTGGGAAATGGGAGTGCACAAAAGCCTTTATATTCTCCGCCTGCCACTGAAGAACCTGCGAGACCAATGGCAACGGTGCTACTGTCCCCTCCATGCCAAGAAGATATACTGTTATCGCATCCTCATCTTGCAAACTCCTACGCCTCCTCATCACAAATTCCGTCTGCGTCGCTGCCAAGGGCTCAGAAATGCCGATAACCTCATCTTTAAGTTGCGGGTTCTCCACAAGGAAGTTCAAGAGATTTTGAACTTTATAACCGACTACTGCCTGCTTCATTGGGCAATTTGTTCTTTGCTTACAAACAGGAGCAACCTAACACCATTGAATCACGCGTAGGTGTGCAAGGAAGACAAGGGAAAGTAATGGGAATGCATTTACTCCAACAGCGAGAGATGAACCGGGGGATAAAATAAAAGGCGCAATACCAATAATAGCATTACAAACACCCCCAACAACAGAACCAGCGGAGCCGGGGGAAAAAGAAGGAAATAAGAAGAAAAAAAAAGGCAAGAGCGCATAAGTTCAAGCCCTCATCGCGATTCTCTCCCTCGCTCCTTTTCGTTGATTCTCTTTTCCTTTTCTTCTTCCTCTTCGCTTTTCTCCATCTTTGTTTCTCTTCCACAACTTCGCGGCCTATTAAGACCGTTTGCTCTATATGCTGTCCTCTTCGGTAGCCAAGCGTGCGTGCGTGTCCGTGTCAACGGGAGAGCGGAGTCCGTTTTTCCTTCTCCCATGTCCCAGGCAGAGGCGTCCACCACGCTCTAAGGAGCAAGAAGCCTCTCTGCCCTCACACGGGCGCCTATCTAACGACAGCGACACCGCCACGAAGCACAGCTAAGTAACATCCATTACGTATGCATGCATGCACACATGGCAATGGAGGTAGCTGTGGGCATGCATCCATAATTCACAACGAGAAGTCGCAAGAGAAAGGATGATAGGAACCGCTCACGGCACCGCAAGCACACACAACAGAAAAAAAAAACGGAAAATACATGGCCCTGTGTAGAGACAAATGTACATATGGGAGGTAAAGCAAAAAAAAAAAGATAATAATCAGCCAATAATACTGAAATGGAGAATATAACGAGAGGAATAAGAAAGACGGAACGGCAGAAGAAAAAAAAACGCGAATCTTTTCTTTGCCATCTTTTCGCCACTTACCTCCGCACTCTTCCTTTTCGAGAACTTCTTTTTTTTTTTTTTTTTGGTCGTGTGTGTCAGCCATTAAAGTTTCTAAACATTGGTGCCACAAGCTCCGGAGCCTCTACCATTTTTTCTTTTCAGTTTTCTTTTGCTCGTTTCCACACATGTACCGTCTCTCTCCTTGTGCTCTTCCGCTTCTTACCCTGTAGCTGTATTCGTGTATATTGATTTATATATAAATTTATATATAAATACCTATACGTATATATATAAAAATACATGCATGCATACACATATATATATATATATCTCACGCGCGAGCGTGTGCGCATCTATGCTGGTCAGGATGCAATACATACCACAAATATAAATAGATATACAAGTGTACCCAGTAAAGTGTATATGAGGCGTGTGTCTGTGTGTGTGTATATATATTATATGTATATATCATCCTAATGGAAGAATGGGCCTCTATTCTTTTTTTCTTATTTTGTTTATTTCTTTTTCTTTGTTTTTCTTCTCTTTTTTTCCCCTTTTTCGTCGCCGGTTCGTTCCGCCTTTTCATTTTCGTTTTTTTTCTTCTAGTGGATCCGGCCAGTGCCTTTGCCCCGGCGTCGCGGACGCTGCGAGGGAGAAGAGAAAAGCAGCGACAGCGGCAACAAAAGGCGAAAAGAAAAGGCGCTGCAGGGAACGCCTCCACGCCACTCTTTGCCCGTGCCACGCCCCCGGCCTTCCCAACAGCGCCGCATCACACCCCTCAACGCAAACGTCGGCACGGCCCCCTCTACGCGTGTCTCCACCCCCCTAAAAAAAAAATGCATCACCGGCAACCCAAACAGGAGAGAAGGAGGCGGGGGAAACGCTGAAGGACTCGGATGCCCAAGTCTGCAAGGCTCCCTCCCTTACGCGCCAGAACGCTTGACTTTCTTGGCAACGCTTTTGATCTTCCTTCGGCTTTTGGTTGGCTTTGCCTTTCCAGATGCCGCAGCCGCCTTCTTTTCGGCCTCGGTGTGTGCCTTCACTGCCGCCTTCACTGCCGCTTTTCGCTTCGCTTGTGCCTTGGCAGTCAGCTTTGGGAGGGCCTTCGCAACTTCCTTCTCGACATCTAGCGGTTTGGACACATCGTAGAGCTGCGAGAGGGCACTGAATCGCTTGCGGTAGTTAAGCTTCTTCACCTTGTGGTAGTTTTCTCGCACAAACTTGGCAAACTTCCCCCTGCGCTTTCCCCTCGCTAAGCTTGCGGCCTCTTCTCGCTGTTTCCGCGTCTGCTTCGGGAGAGTCGGGTGGCGCGCCGCGCGCTGCTTCAACTCCCGCCGCTGGTTCTGCGAGAGCTCCTTGTACATCTTGGAGAGGATGCGGCCCCGCTTCGAGATGGCGCACCCCTTCAGTGCCGGGTTGTTCTTATGATCCATCAGGAAAAGCGTGAAGGGGCTCACACCCCGCCAGAGCAGTGAGAGGCGCATCATCTTTCTTCTACCGCTCCCACAAGCCCGCGCGTGAGCCTTTATCTACGCGAAAAGGTGAGCAAAAACACCCCACTTCCCCGGGGGAGACGAATTCGCATACAGACACACACCGAGAGAACAGGTGGGCGGGAAGGGAGGCAAAGAAGGAAAAGCAGGAGCAACGAAAAAGCAAAACAAAACAAAGTCCTGTGGAAAGCACAAAAAGTGCAACGCCAGAGAGGCATAGATGCAACAGGCAGCACAGAATGAAAAAACGGCAACCCATCACTATACATGTAAATATAAACTGGGGGGCCAATGTGATGAGCGGTGGCGAAGAAGATTTGGTCACCATCCCCAGCGATAAAAGCAGAAGAAACAAAAAAAAGCTACAAAAAAAAAAAAAGGTGTAGAGGGGGGGGAACCTAAACGAAGAAGTCATTCCCTTCCCTCGCCTCATGTCCGCTTCATTAGTGTGCGTTTGCTTGCGCTGAATCGCACTTCTCAAGCAGGGAACGTAATTGGTTATAGAGACGCCCCGCATCCCGCAACGCACAGTGGACTTGGTGCCCAGGCGCGGCCTCTTCCAAAAGAGCCCGTTCCATCTTGTCATGGTACCAACAAGACGCCGCGGCACCATCAGCACTTTTCCCACCGTCGGCAGCGTCCCGAGAGAGAACTTCGGATACAGCCTCAATGTCAAAGCAATAAATGTCTTGAAGAGGCGGTATGGGAAACTCACTCCCCTCCACCGCCGAGGCTGCCCCAAACACCCAGCGCAGCGCGTGAACGTCCATGGTAGAGCCCTTGTTTACGAAAAAGACGCGTTCATTGGCAAGAAACGGAATAAGTTCCCTCGCTATTTCAGTGTAGTCGCGACGGAGAAAGCTCGCGTTACGAAAAGGTATGAAATGGCTCCCCTTTAGGACGCCACTGCTGAGGGCAAAAGCGGTGACCTCATCCATCACTCTGCCAGGGTGAATAAAACAGTGAAAAGTCTGCAACTCATGTTCAGTGCCAAGGGGAATCAGCGCCAGCTCCAAGGGGAGTGGAATTCCACCGGAAAGCACAACTGCGGCTTCTACATCCAGGGCAACAAAAATGGCCCTTTGGGGGCCTCCAACGGCCTCAATGAGGCGCGCAAGCTCTGTCACGTCTCGCATGCGTTTGCTCAGCTCACGGTTAGGGCGCCACGCCGAAGGCTGGGCAGGCAGAGCCGCGCCACCCCCTTTCCCCGCACGCTGCTCCTTCAGAAAAATCCTCCGATCCTCATCCGTCGCAAAACGGTGAGATGGATATAGAATTTGCATCTGTGCGACAATCGCTGGATCCACCGAGAGGAGTAAAGCCCACCCTGCGGGCTCAGAATGAGTATATCCCACATAAAAATCTATCCCAGGATACTCCTCGGCGTGCTTCTTACACAGCTCCGCGCGGTTAATACTTGGATCAATGGAGAGAAGCAGACACTTGCCGGGGTGGGCATCAAGAAACCTCGTGGCGGGTGAAGGTTTCAGCACGACATCCTCCTCTGTGGCATTATCTTCTTTGCAAGAGGACTCCAACGCTGCTGGCGGCAGCGCTGACGACGTTGTCGAAGCACCATGTTGGGTATCGTGGCCCTCGTCGCCAACTCCCGCACCCATTTCTTCGTCGCGCACCTCCCGCAGCACCGCCGTCAAATCCGTCACTTCGCAACCGAGTTTCGTGTAGAATTCCGGAAAAGTACGTCGGAAGGGACCCGCAGGGTCCTCGAAAATGTAAAAGAATGCCCTCGCATGGTCGTACTCCTTCTGCTCCCGATTGTCTGCGACGGCTTCGGCAAGCATCTCCTGCGCATCCGCGCTGTCCTCTTCGGAGGAGATGGTCTCCAGTTCGCTCTGCACACGAATCTCGCTGTCGCTCTCCGAGTACAACATCGTCGCTTGCCTTCCTTGCTTCTGAGATCGGCGAGAAGGGAGCCGGGATGAATACATGCACAAACACATGTTTGCTTGTCTGCGCGTTCGCTTGTTTGAACATGCATGCAGACAACTGCGCTCGCAATCCCAAATTCACCGCCACGAGGAGAGCGGAGACAAAAAAAAAAAAAACGGACGCAACTTTCGCGAAGCAGACGCCAAAAGTGTTGCAATAAGGCCAAAAAATTCCAAGCTGGAGCCCAACGGGTCTAATTTCTTTCGTTCACCTCTTGGTTCTCCTCGCTCTTGCCATCCAGCAGCATTGCCACCACTGCCAGTATCTTCTCTGTCTGCTTCTTCTGGGTGTTTATCTTCTCCTCAAGAAGCATCACCTTCGCGTGCTCCTTATCACGTTCGGCCTTGCTCTTCTCAGCCCTCGCCATCACATGTTGTCTATCACTCTCCAGCGCGTAAATTCGCCGCAGCTGACGCTCCTTCTCACTCTTGGCGCTTTCGAAAGACCCCCGCGCCTTCAACAGGCGCTCTTGAATACCTGACAGATGCGTCAGCCACCCATTCACCTTATCCTGCAGCTCCGCGTGCTCAGTGCGGGCCACTTCCAATCTTTCTCTTTCCTCCGCCAACTCCTTCTCCAGCTCTGGCTTCCGTGCTGCGTCCGCATCCCGCTTGGACTCAATCTTTGCGTACTCCGCCTCGCGGGCCTGCATGATCTCCCTATACTTGCCCTCTCCGGTGGAGTGGTACTTGACATAAATTTCCAATTGCTCCTTCAGGGAGGTGTTCTCATGCTGCGACTTCGCCTCCAGCTGCAGCACCTCCTCCGAGTACGCGTTCACGGTTTCAATGGCGACGCGAAGGCTTTCCGAAAGCCTCTCCCGCTCCTTCTCATCATCCTTCCGTGCCTGCTCATACTTTTGCTCTTCAGCCTGATTAAGTCCCTCCAGCGTTGAGCGCACAGACTCCACCTTCTGAAGCTGCTCCTGCATCTGCGCTAGCCGTTCCTGCAAGGAGGCCTTGAGCTGCTCCCGCTCACGCAGGAGCGCCCGCTCTCCCTCCACCTCCTCCTCACGCTGGTGCAATTTCACCAGCTGCAACACCAGTCGCTCCGAAACCGAGGTCATCGCATAAACACGATTTACTCCGCTCTGGACCCACCTCTCCCCTCCGCTGCCCTTCGTCCGTATCAATAAGCCTTGTGTGTGCGTGTGTGTGTGTGGGTGCAAAGTACACACACACCCCTTTCACACACACACAAAATTGCATGGGAGTGTCAATGCGGGGGAGATGAAAAAAATGGTGACGCAGAAAAGAAGGTGGAGAACACACGCGGGACGTGTTTCTTTGCCTACCTGCACCTCAGTGTCAAAGCTGGGCGAGTGCCACACAGAAACTACCCCCCCCCCAAAAAAAAAAAAAAAAGCGGCTGCAGGGGACTGAGAGAAGGCTCCTCAACGCACACACATATACACGCGGTAATACACCAAACGACACAAGTTCCTTTTTTTTAAAAAAAAAGGAAATAAGTTCATGAAAAGCCTGCTACAAATAGAGGAAAACTAATAGGCACATACATAATTATAAGGAAATAAACATAGGCACAAAAAGTTTTCGGTACCGCTCTGCGGAACACTTTTATTATTCTTATTCTATATTACATCTTCGCTGGCACGCTAAACTCATAAATAATAATAATAATAATAATAATAAAATAAAAATTGATCGACAACAAAGTAAACTGACATCCCAACAGGAAGGTTGTACGAAGCCAAGAAATAACACACTACCAAAAGAAGTACTCCTAGAGAACTCTCTGTCTCTCTCCCACCTGCATTTTTGTGTGCGTGTACACACACACACACAGACGCCTGCAGATATGCCTTTGTGGGTCACCTCTCCCTATCCCTCCCCACTTGAGAAACTATACAACTTTGTTTCTGGCGCACACTTCATTTCGTTGGAGCCCTTTCTTACACACGCCCAGCCTACAGCTACGTGCCTGCATGGAACTGCCTTTCTGACTCGGTACCTCTCTTCTTGGGTCACATTTCCCAGATCTCTTATCGGCGTTTGTTTGCGTGTGTTTTTTTCTGGTTTCCTCGCCTCCTGGCCAGTTCACAGGGGCGAGGAAGTCCCCGAGGCGTCACACCGGCATTTTAATCCCTCTGTGGTAGTAATGCCTCGCTGCACGGAATGAAGCGCTTTGCGCCAATTGCATACGTGTACAAAGAGAAAATTAGTGTTACGCCCAACAAACCAGTGCTTTGCATCAAATTATACGTGGCGTCAGCGGCTCCTTTGCAAAAAGGCTGGAACGAGGGAGCCACGCCCTCTAGAATGGCGGTGCAACTGCTCAATTGGCTGTTGAGGGTGTCAAAGGCAAACCTTGCCTCCGCTAACCCGTTGATGGCGTAGAGCGCCCTTTTGGCCACCCTGCCAACCTCGCTGAGAGCGCCTTCCTTGCTGCAGGTCGCAGAGCACGCCTGTAGATCGCAGTTCGTCGCGGGGCTGGGGACACACGTATACCCTTCTCTCTGGGCCGCCGCCATGTCTGGGGAAGACGCTGTTATCTGGGTTGCCGTGAACAGCGCCGTCCGCGCCCACGACATCACTTCCGCGCCGATGACCTCCTTGCACACCATGCGCGCGGGGCAGGCGAAGACCTTCTTCTGTGCCAAGTTCATGGCGGGCGCCTCATTTTCATCGTAGCAGTACGGCTGCAGTTCCTCGCAAATCCGCCGTGACAGCTGAAGGAAAATATCCTCGAAGGCGGCACTGCGGGCGTCAAAAACAGTGTTATTGCATTTGGTAACTGCCGTTAGGACATTTGTGCGGCGCTCCGTAAACTCCGTTAACTCAAAACAACTTTCTTCGACCAGAAATGAGGAGGCGGAGTAGAGGCCGTTAAAACCCCACGCCACCACCGCGAGCAATGCCATAGTGAAGAAGACAGACATGGACGCATAACGGCGACAGTGGCAGAGGGCAAATAGCATCCCCACAAAGGCGACTCCCAACGTGACGCAAAATAACACGTACGGCGCCCAGGAAAACCGGGCGATGGCGTCAAAGAGACTGACAACTGTCAGATTAAGCATGTTCGCGAGGGCTTCGGGGCGCTTGCAGATCGCCGCACGAAGGTCCTCCCCCGGGTTCAAACTGAGCAGGGACAGGGAATACGTCACGTCCCCACTAGCGTTGTAAAGGGTGATATTCATCTTTTCTAAAAACTCCGAATTCAGACTCTCAACATGTTGAATGGCGAGTTGTGGCATGGTGTGAAGTTCCCTCAACTGCGAGAGCAGTCGGTGTTGAGACGTGCACCCCCATGCACAGGCCACCACGCACACGCAAAAGACCCCCACTGCCCACAAGACAGGACGGATAAGATCTTCCCTGCTGTACTTTGCCGCGTGACCCCGCAGCGGGAAGCAGGGTCTTGGGGACTGTTTACGGCCCCCGCAGCAATCAAAGACGTACTTGCCGATCAGGTAGAGGAACACAGTGAGGGCCACAACACCGCCCACGAAGAAACCCGGAATGGCAAAAACAAACACCGTGGTCTTGTAACTTTCTGGGTGGCACTCGTCCCAATCCACGGCACTCGGGCGGCAATTCATCAGGCGCCATCTTGCGAAGGGGTACTGCAGCAGTGGCAGAGCCGCCGCCCCCGTCAAGGTGAAGCAGAGCAGCGATAGAGCAAGCACTGCAACCGCTACACAAGTCATGGCCACGCAAAAGAAAGATATATATATATATATATATATATATATATATAT